TGTATTTAAAATAAATGTATATATAATATCGGTCGGGAAAGCATTAAAAGTATTCTCTGTACTAACGAGAAACGAAAACGTTCACAATTGTGGATCCAACGGTTTGTTTGGTCATGTACTTTTGTCTAATTTTCTGAAAAATTAATATTTATTTATTTATATTTTATTATCTACAAAAATATTTATGCAAATCACACAGATTTTTGTAGATTTATCATATTACCAACACTATTTAATTACAACATACAAAATCGTCAAAAATCTAATAAATACATAAAAAATTCGTTCATTATCTTGTCCCTACACGAACCTATGTTTATGTCACACACATAAACATGATACATTGAACAGATATACAATATTATAAACAAGATGATGTCTGTGTATTCTATTAACCAATTAACAATACAATAAATAATAAAGTTTCAATATTGAAATCACACAAATTCAGGAAAATAAAATAACTATGGGGACAACCCTAGATAAAAGGGTGAGACGCGCGACGTGGGCGTGAAAAACTTGAAGCCATAATAATACGCACACCGCTGTAGTTTATTATAGTTTATGCTAATCATTTTTGTTCGATCTAATATTAGTCATAAAGTTTATTTAGAGTCAATGTAGATCTTAGTTTTTTTTTTAAAATTATAAGCAATATAAAATTGTAAAATTATTTTCATTAGTAAAATTACCAGCAAAATTATCACACGTAGGTAAAATTTGACTAACATGAATACCTTCAAGAATCTTCTAGGCTACTGTTGGAATACGCCTTGCAAAAACTCTTATACCAACTGGAATGCATGTCATAGCAGAGTTGCACATATTCACTACATGACCAAGCATAACCAGTGCCTATCGCCAGGCTACGTAGTACTATTATTTATTGTGGCCAGGGACTGGTTATGCTGCTGTCGGTCACCACACATTTGGCGGTCTAATTTCGTACCTACATTAGGTACGTGCATTTCGTTTATTAGTTGACATATTCCGTCTTACACTACCTACACGTAAAAAGCATTTTTTTATTATTACTAGATCATACTTTAGAACGAACAATTTGCAAATTGCTGATGTATTAAAAGTATCTGGTACGCTGGTAAAACTACAGAATAAATAATAGGTACCACTAACAAAGTCTTACACATATTACGAAATCTATCAAAGTCTTTCTATAAGGCTGTTTTGTTTTATAAGATCTTGACCCATACTCATGCACATATATTTATCTTCTTTCTATCATTCGCAGCCAGTAAAATTTCACTGATGGGCGCACACCATAGAGTAATATGCACCTAAAACCACGTTGTGGGTGGTAAATTACTTTAGATGCATATTTGTACATGAGTGCGTGTTCTTACAATAAGTTGAACGCGCTTCACACGTCATGCAGTTTTTCTCACGATGTTTTTATTACCCACCAGCACGTGGTAGCAAATTAGCACTTGAAATTGCAGTAAACAATTTCTTTATTGTCCGTATTATATTATTTACGGTTAGCACGAAGCCCCTTTGCGACCTCGGTACTTCAACAACGGTATGAGTACCAAAATTCTAAGTAATATCTAAAGTCGATCTGTCCTTTGTCATGGAGGTAAGACAGATGTGATAAACGTTCTGTCCCAGCAGGAAAAATTTAACTGGAAGCTAACCAACGGAAACTATGGAATATTGTTTTGTTTTTATTCTATATTGCTACACCTACGTCAAATTCTCATCACTCCATCGGTTGACTGGTAATGAATGCCGCAAGGCATTTGTGTTTTGTATATTAAGGAATGTAATAAAGAATAAATAAATAAATAAACATTCTGTTATTACAGAACGAGCAGAAATGTTAGTTTCAAACTTTCAATGACCAAGATCAAGCTCGTTCTTCAAAGCATTCTTCAAAGCGATCGTTCTTCAAAATGTGTAGACACATTACTCGACGGTGAAAGTTTGTGCATAGCCATATCTAAGAATGCGCCTAGCAGTGGCGATCTGTCAACATTATAAGTGTCTTTGCGGTAACGTTGTCGTCATCGACGAGCTTGAGATCCACCGACAAGTGCTAGATTGTCCCGTCGCAGTGAATGACGTTTCACCTTCAATCCAAATTCCAATTCAAAGGAGTCTTATTGCTATAAATATTTCGCTGTTGACAGACGTGACAAATATCAGCTTTTATTAAGCAGCTTGATCGACTTCCCTGACAAGGCTGCTGACGCTATCAGGCAGTGATTTTTTATAGGATAAGTGTGGGGTGATAACGAGAACACATTACACTTGATGGTAAGTGGATGCAGTTGCCCATAGGCATCTAAATCTATCCTCGATTAAGAACCGAAATGCAGATGCGTCATCACTCCAGAGAACTAAGGTGGAATGCCACGTTTCCAGTAAATAGGGTCTACGGTTCTCAACACTCACCGTACGACACAGCATTAGGCTGCTATTTCAGATATTTTTTTTTATTTATTTGGATTACCAACATAAGAAACAGCAACTAATTTTTGGTTACATTACAGTGTTATAAATTTACATGATTAATTGCTCTTATAATTATAGGCAATCACAGCATGCGTTGTTTTACAAATGTTAAACAAAATTGAGAAAAATATGTTCTTAAATAAAAAATAAAATAAAAAATAATGATAAAGAAATAAAAGTTAATTGTGCAACTGGAGTTTAACGTACGTCAACATGCTTTAGCTTGGCAATAAATTGAGCAAGGGTATCATGGTGAACGTCGAGGTCGGGTTCATTTTTGGTGAGCTTGTGGCCGTGAAAGGAAAAGGGGAGATCTCCCGCCGGGCAAGTTGTTATGCCCGGGGAGCGGCCAACACTCCGTGTGATAGTTCGGAGAAGTTCTATATATACTGTTTATGATTCGAAATGTTGATAGCGCGATTTAGGCTTCGGTGAGTTTTCGCTTGTGGCGCGACGACAGCGCCGCTACATCACACCCCTGCTCAGACCGGAGGTCGATAGTGCAGCCTCGTTGCCGACGAATATGCTAGTGCCAGGAGATTGCCTTGTAGTCTGCGGTGATTCGAGAAGACGGCAAGTAATCTGCGAGAGTGCCGTGAAGCAGAGGCGAGCAGTAAGGCTCAGAACCGTGCCGAACACTGTAGCGCAGAGAGTAGCTTGAAGGAACAGGAAGCATTATTATTCCAGTGCTGCGATGAACCTTGTGAAGCTATATGGCTTGCAGGATATGAAGACTGCAGACGATATCTACTCGGGAGCGAATGGGTGGGGTATTCTATGACGATGACGAAGCTTGAAGTTTCCGAAGGTTGTTTGGTTGCGTGTTCAGATCACGTCGGGATTACCACTGTGGCCGTGAAAGGAAAAGGGGAGATCTCCCGCCGGGCAAGTTGTTATGCCCGGGGAGCGGCCAACACTCCGTGTGATAGTTCGGAGAAGTTCTATATATACTGTTTATGATTCGGAATGTTGATAGCGCGATTTAGGCTTCGGTGAGTTTTCGCTTGTGGCGGCGACGACAGCGCCGCTACAAGCTTCTTGTACAGGCGAGATATACGGATCACTGGGGAGTCGAGGAGTCGGGGCCTACGTTTAGTAATTTATACATATTAATTCGTGCTACAACAATAACATAGCTGAAATATGGCTTTACCATGTCTAAAACTTCTACTATATAGTTTTTCTTTAAAAAAAAAATCTTCTCTTTTTGAAAAAAAAAGAATTATTGAAATCGGACAACGTAATAAAGAATTATCGCTGAACGTAGATTAAAAGTGGTGATGTAAGGATATCAACTACCCCGTACTATCCCGTGGGTGTCGTACCAGAACTCGGAGATAAGCAACGTCTTGCCAGTCATGCCAACTGTAACAAATATTCCAGTTATGAGGCAATCTATGGGGAGGCCTTAACCGTGGTAGAGCCACGCGGCAGCTTTGCTGTCGCACGTATGGGCCGGCTCAAACCGGGGTGGTACCACGACCTCACAGAATACCGGCGTGAAGTGGAAGCTCTGCTTCCGCGTTTCGTCTGGTGAGTGCAGGTGGCCGGAGGCCCAAATTCCCCCCCCCCCATCAACATGGTAGCGGAATTAAATGATAGACTACCCCAGGAGGGTACCAGCACCCCTGGAGAATCCCTCGTTGAGCATCCACGACCATGTTTCTCCACTTCTGAGCGTGGGTGCTCAGGCTGCCCCGCGTATTCTGGGGGGGGCAATATTCCGCTCAAGACTAAAACTGCTCGGGGCAAACGGAGCAACAAGACCAAGGCGACCCCTGCCACGCTGTCCGTGAATTTCTGCAATATCAGGGGACTTCACTCTAACCTAAACGCCGTCCACTACCATCTCGAGACGGCGAGGCCGGCTCTGCTCTTTCTGACCGAGACGCAGGTGTCCTCTCCGGCTGATGTCTCGTATCTCTCCTGCCCGGGGTACAAACTGGAACACTCCTTTGTGCCTCGGGCTGGAGTTTGCGTTTACGTCAGAGAGGACATCTGTTCTCGACGCCTCGGCAGACTTGAAGGTTCGGACCTGTCCATCCTTTGGCTACGCGTAGACAGCGACGACCATCCGCGCATCTACGGGTGCCTCTATAGGTCCCATAGCGGTAATACCGAAACAGACCGACTCTTCGACCACGTCCAAATGGCTGCAGATTCGTTGCTACAGCAGATCCCCTCCGCAGAGATCGTGATCCTCGGCGACTTTAACGCCCATCACGCCGAATGGCTCGGTTCACGTTTAACCGATCATGCGGGGAGATCTGTTCATGATTTTGCCTTGGCATATGGTCTGACACAACTGGTTACTTCGCCTACGCGGATTCCAGATGTGGAGGATCATGCACCTTCCCTGTTGGACCTTCTGCTGACCTCTCACCCGGACGGATATCAGATTTCCGTCGACGCCCCTTTAGGCTCCTCGGACCATTGTCTTGTCCGGAGTGTGGTGCCACTCACGCTGAAATCGCGGTTGCATTCTGCAGGCTGCCGCCGTGTTTGGCACTATAGGTCAGCCGATTGGGATGGGATGCGATCTTTCTTTGCATCCTACCCCTGGGGGGCGGGTTTGCTTCTCGCCGGATGATCCCAACGTTGTTGCGGATTCTGTCGCTGATGTGGTACTTCAGGGTATGGAACTTTTTATTCCTTCCTCTGTGGTGCCCATTGGAGGCAAATCTCAGCCATGGTTTGGTCGCTCCTGTAAAATAGCATCATGCTATAAGCAGGAGTGCTACCGAGCCTGGGCTGACGCTTCAGCTTCCAGGGATGTAAACACCAGCGCTCTAAAAAAGAAGTATAATTCCGCCTCTAGGTCCTTCAAAAGAGTCATTGCCAAGGCAAAGTCAGAGCACATAGGCAGAATTGGCGAGAAACTAGTTCGTCTTCCTTCTGGAACCCGTGCATTCTGGTCTCTCGCCAAGGCTGTCCAGGGGAATTTCTGTCAGCCATCTCTTCCATCTCTGCACAGGGAGGACGACTCACTGGCCCACACCGCAAAGGAGAAAGCCGATCTTCTAGGCTCTTTCTTTGCGTCTAACTCGACTCTCGATGACGGGGGGAGTACGCCGCCGACCATCCCGCGGTGTGAGTGCTCCATGCCGGAAGTGCAGTTCACTCAGCGCTCGGTTCGCAAAGCACTCCTCTCCCTGGACATCTATAAGTCGAGTGGGCCTGATGGAATCCCCCCAATTGTGCTGAGGACGTGTGCTCCAGAGTTGGCACCGGTTTTAACGCGTCTTTTCCGGTACTCCTACTCCCTAGGCGTAGTCCCAAAATCATGGAAGACGGCTTTCGTCCACCCGATCCCTAAAAAAGGCGACCGCTCAGACCCGTCCAACTACCGGCCTATCGCCATCACCTCCTTGTTCTCCAAAACAATGGAGTCCATTGTAAACTGCCAGCTCATGAGGTACCTTGAGGATCACCAGCTGATTAGTGACCGCCAATACGGTTTTCGCCGTGGTAGGTCAGCTGGTGATCTTCTGGTCTACCTAACTCACAGATGGGCGGAGGTAGTAGTAGAGTGGAGTAGAGTCCAAGGGGGAGGCATTGGCCGTTAGTTTGGACATTGCGAAGGCCTTCGATCGGGTTTGGCACAAAGCGCTTCTTTCGAAGCTCCCTTCCTATGGGCTTCCCGAGAAATTGTGCGATTGGATCACCAGTTTTCTTGCAGATCGGAGCATCAAGGTCGTTGTAGACGGTGCGAGCTCCGATTGCAAGCTTATTAATGCTGGTGTTCCACAGGGCTGCGTGCTATCGCCAACGCTGTTTCTTCTGCATATCAATGATATGTTGCAAACCCGTAGCATTCATTGCTATGCAGATGACAGCACTGGTGATGCTCTTTACACCGGCCGAGCCAATATTTCTCGGGAAAACGTCTCTGAGTGCCGGGACAAATTTGTGTCTGAAGTCGAGTCTCTGCTGGACAGAGTCTCGGATTGGGGGCGACTAAATCTAGTCCAGTTTAACCCCCAGAAGACACAAGTTTGCGCGTTAACCGCTAAAAAGAACCCCTTTGTCGTATCCCCTCAGTTTCAAGGCACTCCCCTTGTTGCCTCAGCCAGTATCGGAATCCTCGGCGTCGACATATCGAGTGACGTGCAATTTCGTGGTCACTTGGAAGGGAAGGCCAAATTGGCCTCTAAAAAGCTTGGCGTGCTCAGCAGAGCGGGACAGTATTTCATGCCGGCACACCGCCTGCAACTTTACAAGGCGCAGGTTCGGCCGCTCATGGAATACTGTTCCCATTTCTGGGCTGGGGCTCCCCAGTACCAGCTCCTTCCACTTGACCGCATCCAGCGCAGAGCGGCTCGAATCGTCGACGACCGAGTGCTTTCCGATCGGCTCGACTCACTGGCGCTGCGAAGAGATGTTGCATCTCTTTGCGTATTTTATCGCATCTATCACGGGGAGTGCTCTGAGGAATTGTTCGGATTAATCCCAGCCGCCAAATTTCGTGAACGCACTACACGGCAAACGTCCCGATACCATCCACACCATCTGGATGCTTGGCGGTCCACCACTGTACGTTTCAAAAGGAGTTTTCTTCCGCGTACAACCTCTCTGTGGAATAATTTACCACCGGTGATTTTTCCGGACCGATACGACCTGGGGACCTTCAAGAAAAGAGCTTACTCCTTTCTAAAGGGCCGGCAACGCACCTGCAATTCCCCTGGTGTTGCGGTTGATCATGGGCGGCGGTAGTCACTTAACATCAGGTGAGCCACATGCTCGTTTGCCCCCCTCTTCTATAAAAAAAAAAGTGGACTTTTGATAGGCTGTACTGGTTAATAATAATGTAATTCACAACAATATTCCGACAAACCTTCTTGTATTGAAGTCTTTGGATATTTGATAATAATAAAAAGAGTAATAATTCGACGGCTCGGTAGCGTACCTAATAGCTAAGCCGTTAGCTCTGGGACGCTGTGGATCCGAACCTTGAATTTCAGTGTGGATCGATGGTTAGCTTAAAAATAATTTTTCTACGTCTTGATGTTTGTCCAATGCAAGTTATGTATGTTAACCGCCATCACGGTACAGGTAATCCCAGTGTGATGGTAACATCAGGTTGACTGTGTGCTCGTTTGTCATTGTAATACACAATATAAGAATTATATAACATGATATAAACTTCATATAGTCACTATAAATGTACATATTGGATGATATTCACTATCAAAGTCAGGAGTTCCCAAAGTATGCGTCGCGGCGTCGGCGTCACCCTGGTGTGCCGTAGAGAGCAAAGAGCAGCGCCGCGCCGTGCGCCGCTCCTGTATACCATTCTCTGGAAAGTAAGCTTAGGTATTCGCGGGATCACGGGTACAAAATAAACAATACAAATCGCGCGCGCTGCAAACTTCACTTACACGCAGATAGGTACTTATGCTCGGAAAGGGGTCCAAAATCCAACTTAAAGTTCAAAAGCTCTAAGAATTCTTATTCTCTTTGCAACATCTTATCAGCATTATATTGTAAATGTTAAAGTTTTTACGCCTACCTACTTAGTATCATTGTTCCCTATTTCTACTAGCTAGAGCGCCGTCACGCTGAGACAAATAACTAAACCTGTAAGTGCGCCGCGAACTGAAAAAGTTTGAGAACTTCTGATCTAAGTGATGAAAGAGGGTCAAAAGTTTATAATTTATTTAACACTATCATATATTTGATGTTATCGGCGTTAGATAATGGTGTGCCGTAGGTACTTAATAAAGAGACCGCTTGTCGCCACCTAAAATGCTTATACAACAAGTTGACATGGTCACGGAGAATCATATATTGCATTTTACGAGTTCAGTTCAAATGTAATTGCTGACAACTGTCTGCACATGAGAACGTTATTCGATATTAATAATGATAGTAAACTTACATATTGATTTGACTCTTAATTAGGTCACAAAAGGTTATATGTTTTATTCACAATTGCAAAAATACTAAAGCATACATACTCGTAATAGATAAAACACTACTTTATAAATATCTATAATAAATAATAATCATTCTAACATATAATATATGAACATATAAATAAAATTGAAGTCACCGACTGTAATATCAAAATAACTGCCTTATAGTTCATAAAAGATAGCTTGATCTCTGCATCAGCTGTCAGTAAAATCACGCCTTCATAGGACTTCATAGTCCTGAATTTCTTAGTAGTACAGACAGTATCCTGAATTTCTTAGTAGACACTAATTAGTGCATGCCTATAAAGTATGACATTGACAGGTACTGTCTGTACACTGACTTAGAAGTATAGGTATTATATCTCTATGTGTCTGTACTACTAAGAAATTCAGGATTTCATATGCGTGATTTTACTGACAGCTGTCGCAGAGATCAAGCTATCTTTTATGAACCATAAGTACAATGAGCTCAAAAAAGTGATTATGGCATGAGTAAAAAAATTAAATTTTTTGCCTATCTGGGCTTATCTTTGAAATGGCTGAACCAATTGTAATGAAAGTAACGAACGAATAAATAGATAGATTTAGGCTTTTATCCGAAAAACTTTTATAAAAAAAAAAAAAAACGATAAATTGGCGTTACCACATGAATAGATCTCATTCTACTGTAAATATTGACTTCAAAGTATCCCAACAAGAGTATGTCAGTATAACTCAAGAGGTGATGTGATTATTGCTTTCTTAATTATTAATAGAATCAGGTGTTACTTTGCGGAAAACTATCATATTAAAGATCATCATCATCATCATCATTACAGCCCTTCACAAGTCCACTGCTGAACATAGGCCTCCCCCAAAGAATGCTACAAAACACGGTCATGAGCCACCTGCATCCATCGACTTCCTTTCTTATTCTTACCAGGTCGTCACTCCATCTAGTGGGGGGTCGCCCTACACTACACCTACCGGTACGAGGCTGTCACTCGAGAACATTTTTTCCCGTTGGTTGTCGATTCTTCGAGCTATATGACCGGCCCATTCCCACTTCAGCTTACTAATCCGTTGGGCTATGTCGATCACTCTGGTTCTACGCTACGGATATCCTTATTTCTAAGTTTGTCACGCAGAGAAACTCCGAGCATAACCCTTTCCATAGCTCGCTGAGCGACCTTGAGCGTCCTCATACGGCCAGCAGTGAAGGACCACGTCTCAGATCCATAAGTCATCACTGGCAACACGCACTGGTTGTACAATCTAGTTTTCAGGTTTCGAGGTATACCTGACGAGAAGCTGTGTCGTAATTTCCCGAACGCTGCCCAGCCGAGTTGAATCCGTCGATTTACCTCTCGGTTGAAGTTGGACTTACCTAGTCGGACTATTTGTGCCAGGTAAACGTACTCGTCAACAACTTTGAGCTTAGTGCTCCCAACAACTACCAGCATAGGTGTGACATGGACATTAAACATAATCTTTGTTTTGTTCATGTTCACCTTAAGACCGTTATCCGTTGAGAGACACTATTGAGGTCATTGAGCGAGACCTAAGCACTTGCTTAGGTCCTCCAGCGATTCTGCCATAAGGACTATATCGTCGGAAAATCGAAGGTGAGTGATGTATTCGCAACTGATGTTAATACCGTATCTTTTCCAGTCCAGTAACTTGAAAACGTCTTGCCAATGCAGCGGTGAAGAGTTTCGGGGTTATAATGTCACCCTGTCTTACACTTCTCTGCAGTTGGATAGGTTTCGTACTCTGGTTCTGTACTCGGATAGCCATCGTAGCCCTACTGTACAAACGCTTCAGCACTTCGATATACCGACAGTCCACTTGGCACCGCTGAAGAGACTATAGCACCACCCAAATTTCGACGGAATCAACGGCTTTCTTATAGTCCACATACGCCAGGCAAAGTGGCAGATTGTACTCTTCGGCCTTCTGTACAATCTGCCGCAGGGTATGTATGTGGTCTATGGTACTGAAGCCTTTTCGGGAACCAGCTTATTCGGGAGACTGGAAGTCACCGAGCCTGCGTGCGAGACGATTCGTAGTGACTCTCGAAAACAGCACGTAGACGCGGCTCAGAAGGTATATCGGTCTGTTTAGTTCTTCAAGAGAGTGTCGCCTTTCTTGAAGAACAAGAGCACCGCACTTTTGCTCCACGACTCCGGAGTAATGCTACCATGGAGGACGGAATTGAAGAGCTTCTGAACGACCTTAAGTACCGGCGTTCCACCCGCTTTCAGAAGCTCCGCTGTAATTCCGTCCTCGCTTGGAATCTTGCTATTTATAAGGTGCTGGAGAGCCATTCTAATCTCGCTCAAACTGACGTCCGGGATATCATCGGAATAGTGTCGGATAAGACTTACTCTTGGATCTTTACTCACACTTGCGTGTAGCTCCAACGATGATGTGTACAGCTGATCATAGAACCTCTCAATCTCACTGAAAATCTCAGGTCTCCCGGAAACGATGCTGCCACACTCAGTCTTCAGCTTTGGCAGCTAGCTCTTTCTGGCAGACTGATATCTGGCAAAGACTTTGGAGCCCTGGTTACGCTCAATCGCTTCCTAAATACGAGCTGTATTGAAGTTGCATGAGTCGCGCCGCATGCATTTGCTGCAGAACTGCTGACGATTGCAGCTTCACAGCTATGAGATTAAGAGTGTGATCGGAAAGTTTTTGCGTCGTTGCTCATGGGGGGTATATTGCCATAGTTGCCACGCTTGGCGAGCGGGTTGGCAACCCAAGTTTTTTATATAGTTGCTGTTATCAGGATGACGCTGCTGCCCATCTCCTGCCTGTTTCCCTCTGTCGCCTTTTGCGACACCCACGGGAAGATATGGGGTAGTGGATATTCTCAACCGCCATTACACGGCCAAGGTCATAACTACATAATAAAATGACATTTCATTGTACACAGTACGAAGTATGACACAGAATACGTACGACAGTATGAAGTAAGTAATTATTTAATCTGTGGCATAACTTGAAATTAAAATGAAGTAAACCGCTACTCTATAATTACTACGTTCTTTTGCGCGGTACAAAGCACAAACCTGATGTTTTTGAATATGTTGCCGCGATACTCCATAGTGTTGGCGGACATATGTGCTCGAAATATTTATAACTTCTCAAACATGCGGTTTTTTACGATGTTGATGAGTATGTGAAAAATTTGTACTCAATTCACAAATTATGAATAAAAATTTCTGTGTGACAATCGGAGATCGACCTCCATTTGCTCGTGTACTACGTTTACGCATGGCTTTAATTATTCGATACTCTATAACTTAGCACAGATTTCAGTATCTAATAATGAGTGGAAATTATTATTTTTTCATTCTTAGGTTTTAATGTCAGTTATTATTTTATTCTTTTACTACTGCCAATGCTTGACTACTACCCCACCAGATGGTAAGTGGTGATGGAGTTGCAGACTTGGAGATGATAAAACGCACTGACTTAGTATAATAAAAAATATATTTGATATTTCGTAAAAATCTGTTTAAAAGAATAGAAAACGAAAAAATCACATTCTGAAGTCGATGCTGACTTGTGTACTGTAGAAATAGGCATTATAGACCTGATATCAGAATATGAAATTATTTTATTTTTATTAGTACTTTGAAGTCGACTTTTACTATTTTTTAATAGAATGTGGGTGACAAACGAGCACACAGTCCACCTGATGGTAAGTGGATGCTGTGGCCCATAGACATTGACATTTAACCTCAATTAAGAATCAAAATGTTGTCACCCCTGAGGACTAAGATGGAATTCCTCGATTTCAGTAAAACGGGTCTGCGGTTCTCTATACTCACCATACGAAACATAGCAGGTCCTTCCCCGGTGGAGCCGATCCATTCATGCTACAACCATAATATAGCTGCAGCGTGGCTCTACATTAAAAGTTAATATTTTACCTATATGATATTCATCGTAATGGTTAAAAATTTCATTCCCTATTTTGCCACCGTTAGGTTTTTATATAGAATAAAGGTGACAGGCGTGACGTCACGTGACACGTGAAGTTCATACCCGTTCAAGAATTATCAAAATCGATACACAACTGACGAATATATCGTGTAACTTACTTACTTACAAGAAAACATATAGTCGAATTTAAGTATCACTACTTACGCTGTCACGTAGTAACCTTTTACGGAAGTCACAAAAACAAACTTGAAAAAAAAGAGCTACCTACTGCCTTTTTTGAAGTCGGTAAAAACCTATTCGCTCCTGTTATAAAGGCATCCGCCTTAAGAGCGAAGAGGCTCATTATAATCGAATGAAAATTCGGATGCTGGCAAATTACTACATACCAAATGTTTATCGACAATGGAGGGATTAAGACTGGGTATTCTACTCTGAGACTGGCCGGGCGTTTGCCTGCTCAATGGTGGAATGGTATGAAGGAATTGTGTCTTACAATTCCTACTCACTCTTTTTTTAAAGTTTCATTATTGTATACAGGAGTCAAGCTTTTGATCTGCAGTCTTGTACTGTGATTTAGCTACGCGGACTTTTTAGCACTACATGGAACATTATGTTAACATATTTCGTCTTTTATTTAGACAGCCATATAGTTCAAATATTTAAACGATTTTTACGGACAAATTTATTGTAGGTATACTTTTTATGACGGGCGTTGCGCGTGAGAAACGAGCGCTGGCTTCACTGTTGACGGATTTGAACACGTTATCAACGATCAACATCACTAATCAGAGCTGATAAGCCCTAGTCCTAAGGCAGACGCGGGAGATAAGAAATTGCCATGGCAACAAGTTTCATTCTTACGGTTTTATTCGCGCTGATTACGCGACTGTAACTACCCAATTCTTAATAAGTGAAACGATTTCTATAAATAATCTGTATGACCTTTTTACCGTCTGGAAAAAATAGGGTGTAACATGTAAACGGTGTAGAAGCCTATGGCACTGATATTTTACAAAAAAATAAAAACAAACATTTTGAATTAAATAAATAACTAAATTAAAATCTATCGAAATTCAAATCATATCCACCCTATTTTACGAACGACAATAAACCATTAAATTTAGTAGGCATCTTTGACCTTGTCACTTCGCAGGGTTACAGGCAAGTTTAAAAAAAATAAAACCTACTTTTTGGATTTAAATATACTGCGCGTAACCTTCTCCAAATTAAGAAGCTTTGCACTGAGACGTATGCATAGGCTACTAATTACATTTTTAATTTTAACACAGTGCACGCTACGTGCTTAACTATATCACTTCATTGAAAAAAAAAACGACGGGTTGCACTCCGGGAGTGCCGGCAGAAGTGAAAACTTGAATATTAACGTTGTGCATTTTTGATATTTTGGAATGGTTAGGGAATAATTTTGCACTAATTGCTTTAATTATCAGTATAAAAGTAACTATCATTTATGTGGTAGAATACAATATTTATTTATTGCGCTATTGTACACAAACATGACAATTTATATTATATTTGCGCAAGCGCCCTGCGCCGCCTAAACGAAACAGCAGACGCAGGCATACATTTTCGCCGCGCCGTAGAAAGAGAGGGGGATACTTTCTCTCCTACGCCGTCCGTCTTACGCATTTTCGATCAGGTCACGTATCCTGACGCCAGTGGCAAAGCTAGAGCTCCAAGCTAGGGCAAGCCCAAGATATAAATTGATAAAAATATAGATTGTTGTTTTTAGCAGTTTTTAAAAATACACCAATCTTGATCTGTCTCCACGCTTCAGTTTCATATTCAGTGCTGTCAAGGACGTGTTTAACAAAGCACACAGAAGGCATACCACTGCTAGATAGATTGTATTACATATCAGCAATTGCATAGCTTCGGTGGCTTTGAAGAAAGCCGTTTGGGTTTGTTTAAGCGTAAGAAAAAAATATTTACATCCAATACTATACATGAACAAAAGTAAAACACGAACAAAGTACAAACAAACTATGTACAAAATTAAAAAAAAATTATTTACATTCTAATGGATAAGAGATAAGATAAGATAAGTGGAATCGTCTCGCTTTCTTATGGAGATTTAATTACGTCCACGTAAAATGTTGGTGAACGTTTTAATTGTACCAATAACTGTTTTTAATTACGATAATTGATAAGTCTGAAATACACTCTTAACCTTGTGTATTATCTCAACAAAGTTTAAAGATTTCCTCTCCGATTATCACTTTAACACACTTCAATTCATCAGAAGGAACACTATTATCCTCCATTTTCATTAAAAATCTTTAAAAAAGCATAAATTTTGAACTCGTAATATTAAATCGCTTAAGATAAGCATACAGAGTAAATAAACATTAAAACGTGAAATGAACATAGATAAATAAATATGTAGCAAGAATGCTTGCAAAAGTATTGCCCGCGCGCCTCCGCTTTTAACAAATTTATTCCCAAAAGCCTGGCTTTAAATCTCTATACTAATTGCTATAATATATACAATCGTAGTTATATTTCATTATAGAATATTTTGCCATAGGTTAGAAAGAGAGCGATCGTCTTCTCGAAAGCCCCGTAAAAAGCCCACGCGAGTGAGGGAGACAACTATTAGCTCTAAAACTCATTTTTTATGACAGCAGCAGTATCGCTAAGGCAATACGAGGTCATCGGTCGACATGTGTCGAACAATGGAGTGCGCGGGAAATTTGAAATAGCTTGAAACATTTTACGAGTTATTTTATTAGTTGGTATTATTGATTGATTGATTCAGGTTTAATAAGGCAAGCCCGGCTTTTCGGCTTTAATGGAAGCTTCGCCACTGCCTGACGCGAGTTTAACATTTTTTACCTATTACAAAAAAGTGTTCAACGTCGCTAAAGAAGTTTTCACTTCAAAAATTGCATAAATTAGACTATCGCATTTCGGATGCGTATCCAAAGACTGTATAAGATGAAGGCTGAACTAAACTTGTTGTTTCACGATACCTTTTTTAAAAACGCAACTGCATTTAAATTCCTTATCGAGAGTAGATACATTTGTCTATGGGCCATAGCATCCACATACCATCAAGTGAACTGTGTGCTCGTTTGTCGCCCTTAAAAACATTGAGATAGCACTCTTTACCTCTGCCCCCCAAAGGTTGACAACAGTCGGCACCAAGGCACTTGAGGATAATGAAACCAGCGCTACATTCAAACTTAAAAAATAACAACCGAATTTATTTAATAAATAAATACGGTATAGTTTTAGGTGAAGCAATAAAACAAAAACTTGTTAAAATTAATAAAAACGTATATTTAAAACCTAAGTTTAGATTCGTGCATAGTCAATATCTTATCAACTTCTACGGCTCTCTCTTTCAATGTCTCCATTTCCTCCTCGCTGAGAACGCTACTCTTCTTGCCGGCGTTCTTGATGAGGAAATGTTGTATGAACAAGCGAAGACTCTCTCTGAACATATGCAATTTTGGAGACTTGGATATCCTGTGGAACACTTCTAAGGAGGCTTGGAAGTCGGAATTCATGATCACGGCCAATAGGATCTGACGCATAAAGCGGACAGATCGTTTGTTTAGGTCCGAGAATTGTATGATCTGTGGAAAAAATTAAAGTTATTAGGTAGGCGTTAGTGCCGCAAATATTAAATTGATGACGGTGAGTGCCCTCTACGGATAGTAGCAGATGATGATGTTATAAATTTTTAAGATAAGGATGACAAACGAGCACACATCATACCTAATGGTAAGTGGATGCTGTGGCCCTCATACATCTACATATATCCTTGATTAGAATCAAAATGCAGAATGCGTTGCCACCCCTGAGGACCAAAATGAAATGCCAAGTTCGCAGTAAAAAGGTATCCGGTTCCCTACACTCACCATTCAGAACACAGCAGCATTAAGCTGCTAATTTACGCTGGTATTCTGTGAAAGCGTGGTACAACCCCGGTCCAGCCGACCCAAATTATTCTACAAAGCATAATATAGCTGCAGCTTGGCTCTACCAGGTAAAATAATCAACTTTTGCCCATTTTGTATTTAATTAAACTCAAAACACAAAGCCGATTAAATTCTGAGACACTACTTAAAATAACATTTATTAATAACAATGTGAATTATAATAATCCGTACGGATAAAGAATGGAATTAGAAATGGCGGCCCATCGAGGATGTACCGTCAACATGCACAGTACCATCGAAAACTCGCTAATAACGGTATATAGTTATATTATACATCATCGTCATAATTACAGCCCTTCACAAGTCCACTGCTGAGCATAGGCCTCCCCCAAGCAATGCTACAAAACACGGTCCTGAGCCACCTGTATTCATCGACTTCCTGCAAGTCTTACCAGGTCGGCACTCCATCTAGTGGGGGGGTCGCCTTACACTACGCCCACTGGTACGAGGCTGCCACTCGAGAACCTTTCTTCCCCATCGGTTGTCGGTTCTTCGAACTATATGGCCGGCACATTGCCACTTCAGCTTACTAACCCGTTGGGCTATGTCGGTCACTCTGGTTCTATTGCAGATATCCTCATTTCTAAGTTTTCGCAGATAAAGCATAGTCGTCTCCATAGGTCGCTGAGAGACCTTGAGCGTCCTCATACGGCTAGCAGTGAAGGACCACGTCTGGGATCCCTAAGTCATCACTGGCAACACGACGGTTGTCAGTCTATTCAGGTTTTGAGGTATACCTGACGAGAAGTTGTGTCGTAATTTCCCGAACGCTGCCCAGTCGAGTTGAATCCATTGATTGACCTCTCGGTCGAAGTTGGACTTACCTAGCGCTTTGTGCCAGGTAAATGTTTCGTTAACAACTTCGAGCTTAGTGCTCCCAACAACTACCGGCATAGGTGTGACATGGACATTAAACATGATCTTTGTTTTGTTCATGTTCACCTTAAGACCTTCCGTTGAGAGACACTATTGAGGTCACTAGTGCTTAGGTCTTCCAGCGATTCTGCCATAAGGACTATATCGTTGGCAAATGCAAGGTGAGTGATGTACTCGCCGTTGATGTTAGTAACGTATCCTTTCCAGTCCAGTAGCTTGAAAACGTCTTCCAATGTAGCGGTTTAGAGTTTCGGGCATATAACACCCTGTCTTACACCTCTCTGCAGTTGGATAGGTTTCGTACTCTGGTTCTGTACTCGGATAGCCATCGTAGCCCTACTGTACAAACACTTCAGCACTTCAATATACCGACAGTCAACTTGGCACCGCTGAAGGGATTGTAGCACCGGCCAAGTTTCGACGGAATCCACGACTTTCTCATAGTCCACATATGCAAGGCAAAGTAGCAGATTGTACTCTTCGGTCTTCTGTACAATTTGCCGCAGGGTATGTATATGGTGTATGGCACTGAAACCTTTTTGGGAGGCTGGAAGTCGTCGTGCGAGACGATTCGTAATGACTCTAAGGGACAGACTTAGAAGGGAAATCGGTTTGTAGTTCTTCAAAAGAGCGCTGTCGCCTTTCTCGAAGAACATGACAATTCCGCTCCACGCCTCCGGATTAGTATCACCATGAAGGACGGAATTGAAGAATTTCTGAAAGACTAAGAACTTAAGTTCTAGTTTTCCACCCACTTTGAGAAGCTCAGTTGTAATTCCATCCTCGCCTGGGGCCTTGCCATTTTTAAGGTGTTGGAGAGCTATTCTAATCTCACTCAGGCTGACGTCCGAGATATCATCGGAATAGTGTCGGATAAGACTTTGGATCGTTACTGACACTTGCGTGTGGCTCCAACGATGATGTGGAGAGCTACCCATAGAACTACTCAACCTCTCTCAAAATCTCAGGTGTCCCGTAAACGATGCTGCCACACTTGGTCTTGAGCTTTGACAGTTGGCTCTTTCTGGCAGATAGATCTCTGGCAAAGACTTTGGAGCCCTGGTTCCGCTCGATCGCTTCTTCAATACGATCTATATTGAATTTGCGCAAGTCTGCCCTTGGAGATCTGTCTGTTCAGTTGCCTGTATGCTGTCAAATCTGTTGAAGACTGCAGTTTCATCTCCCGTCTAACAGCCATGAAATTAAGAGTGTGGATCGGTGAGTTTTTGTGTTCTTCTGTGGCAGGTATTGCAGAACTTAGCTCCAACCGCATGGACAGTTTCCACGAGCTTGTCATTCATATCGTCCACTGTATTGCAGTCTTCTAGGCACTGAAAGCGGTTTTGTAACTCGAGCTGAAAGTTTTCGGGAACCTGGATAAGCGCACGAAGGGGACGGAGGGTTGTCTTCACTAGACGAGACATCTCCAACTTAACGTTTAAGTTCAGTGTACCTCTAACCATTTGGTGATCGCTGCTAGTTTTCACCCTGAGATATCACTGAACAGTTGCCGTCTCGTCGTCATAATGAAGTCAATCTCATTTTTTGTCAAGCCGTCGGGGCTCGACAACCTCTCTTCCAGAAGAAGTGGTCCCCACTTTCTGTGGGGCCGCTTCTGGAAGAGAGACTTTATAATAACGGGTCTTCCTTTCTCCGTGAAGTCGGCTAGCTACTGGCCCTTGGGTTTCGTTGCTCTATCCCAAATTTCCCTACCTTCAGCTCACCGTTCTTTCTTGTGCCCAGTTTTGCGTTGAAGTCTCCCATTAACACCGTATAGTGAGTTTTGGAGGAATGCATGGCTCTAGAAATATCCTGATATATTTCCTCCACTTCCTCATCGGGATGTGCCGACTTTGGTACGTAAACCTGTATGACCTTCAGCGAATAGCGTTTGGTGATTCCGAGTATAAGGACGCAACCCTCGTCGATACACTCCCAATCTTTAAAACGTTGTTAACGAAAGACTTGTGGACGATAAATCCAGCACATCCTTGGGACAGATGGTCGCCCTCCCGGTAATAGAACAAGTTGCCGGACTTGAGGATTACCGTGTCCTCCCCCTCCCTTCGGACCTCGAATAATCCTATAATATTCCAGCGCAACTTGTCTATCTCTTCTTCCAGCTCCAGGATCTTCTCGTCAGTCATCAGGGTGCGTGCGTTGTATGTTGCCAGGTCGAGTCGTTTTAGGTGGCAACCAAACCTCCACCGGAGATTCTTAGCACCCTCTGCCCCGCCGTTACCATGGTCGCCACCAATGGACTGGGGGCAGTCTATTTGTGTCGTTGCTCATGGGGGTTTATTGCCATAGTTGCAACGCTTGGCAAGCGGGTTGGCCACTGCAGTTTTTTGTTGTTGTAGAGTGGCTGTTATCAGGAATATACTGCTGCCCTTGTCCTACCTGTTTCCCTCTCTCGCCTTTTACGACACCCACGGGAAGATTATTGGAAAAAAAATTGTATAAGCTAGTAGGTACATTAATTTTAAAATAACATTTATAACTAGCTCTATTAATGTGGCGTTATTTAGACTTAGGGTAATCTTTTAAAACCATTTACTTTGTCTTATCAATATTTCTCTAAATTTTTCGGAAAAAATTTAGTCTATATCACTTCTGCTAGTACTCTTTATTTGTTCGTGAAGTTTTATTACAAACGGTTCAGCCATGCCGAAGATTAGCTCGGACAGACAGACAAACGAAAATTTTAAAAATGATTACTGAGTTTTGACTGGTGGACTGATCTTTTTTGTAGTTTACGGCATTTTGTTATAATTGATTCCAAAGACAAGTCGGACGGAAGTTACAGAAGAAACGAAAAATGCATATCGCAATGTATTTTTTGTAGCCTTTACCGGCGGGTGTGAGTATAGATAGCAACAATGAGTGAGTGAGAGGTGAATAGAGGCAACGCCATTTTCAAACCCATTCTTTAACCGCATGGGTCGAGCCCAAGTGTAAGTGAAAAGCATAAGTTTGCCAAGAAATTGATTCTATACTACAAAGTAAGTTATTTTTTTTTGTTTTTACCTTTAAAACAGAGAGCGGAAGGCCCTTCCCCATGATCAAATGTATGAGGAACTGCGCCAAGTTGGTCATACTCTGCTTCGGTAGCGTTTCCATTTCCTTAATCTTGTCCCACACGGAGAACTGTATTGACAGCTAAAATAGAAAGATAATGTAACTTATATTATGGTTTGGGATAGAATGTCCGATGGCATTAAGCCCTCCCATGTTTACTGTGAGTGCTATATAGATTACATAAATAAATAATAAAAGTAATAACTTTATAGGTAACTTGATGTGTCGACATTTTAAGACAGCACCTTTTTTGCATGCCAGTTGGATTTTTTGACATGGCATAATATGTCCAGCGGTGGTCTTTAACATCACTAACATTATGGTCTTAATGTAAGTCTCGCTACAGGACACAGGCCTGTTTTCCATTACTGAAAGAGTTCTTCATCTTCTTTAATTTTTATGGTGCTCATGGAGTTGTGTAATTAGTGTTGGCAGACTTCACATGTCTAAAATATTTTTTACTCCTAAGACATGCATCGATTAATGTTTTCTATTACCTTCTAATACATGATAAATCAGTATTTAAATTACGATTAACAATTTCATCGGTGTCGGTAAGGACCTTAAGACGAGCGCTTAGCCCCTAAACTACTCATGAAAATTATTTTTTATAGAATTAGGGTAACAGACATGCACACAGTCCACCTAATGGAAAGTGGATGCTGTGGCCCATAGACATCTACATAAATGAGTTGTCACCCCTGAGGAATAAGATGGAATGTGTCGTATCCAGTAAAAAGGGTCTCCGGTTCTCTACACTCACCATACGACATTATAGCAGCATTACGCTTCTATTTTACGCTGGTATTTTGAGAGAACGTGGTCCTTCCCCTTTTGAGTGCTACAATCATAATACAGCCACATTATGGCTCTACCATATATAAAAGTTGCCACGCTTGGCAAGCAGGTTCGCAACCGCACCTTTTTTATTTAGTCGTTATTAAGAAGACGCTGCTGCCCGTCATATTGTTGCGTGAATAAGTCAACTAGCGTCATATAGTGTCAGGAACGAGAGCGAGGGGGAGCTTTGCAGAAAATAACATCACAAATCTCTCAACCGACAGCGCCATCCGAAGTTTCTAGAAAATCTACACTCGCTCACTCGTCCCTTTGCGCGCATTTACTTGAATATTCCGGATGCTTCTTTGCTAATTATATAAATAGGCGCTGCAAGATGCGATCGAAGTAGTATTGAATGGGCGATACGAGCGAAGCTTCGGAGCGGAATTAAGTGAATTAGTGTGTTTAATTATTAGTGTTTTAAGTTTTAATTTGTGTAAAGAGAATTAAAGTGTTAATTTAGGTAATTTTATCGGCAATTTTTATTGTCACGAACCTCAAGCTCGTAACAATTTGGTGTCAGAAGTGGGATAAAATTATGCCGATTTTACCTAAGAACGAGATGGAGGGTGTCCGAACCCGAAGTCAACGCCAGCAGGAGACGGACCAGAGGAGATTTGGTGGTGCAACGCCGCAGACGTCGGAAGGCCAAATGCCAGCCACGGAGGCTGCGTGCCCGTTAGTAGCTCCTACATCTGCAGCACCTGACTTAGGTGCTTATTTGTTTCCCTGTGTCGTCTCTTACGACACCCACGAGATTATATAGGGTAGTGGATATTCTTACACCGCTAGTACACTGTACGCGGCAAATACTCAAACACTACTCAACTCTAAGATGGCGTTAAGTGTCGTGCTGTCTCTATTACTTTAAGTCAAAGTGACTGAGACCCTACGAGACTTAACGACATCTTAAAATTGAGTAGCGTTTGAGTACTTCGTCATAAGTTACCTAGAACAACGAAAACTTTCCGCACCTGATACTTCCTGTCGAAGTCACACAGCTTCTGTGCCAACACCGCGTAGTAAGGGTTGTACGTCTTCTCGTGTAAGCAGCAGGCCAGTAACACGTGGACGATCTCCCTCTCCTGCTGACCTTTGAGGCCTAGATGCTGAAGCTTCTCGAAAGCATCCATAAAGTCCTGTTCATAAATTATAATATTGAGATTTAATAACGTGATAAAGAGATGGTAGGACTCGTTATTAGTTAGAGCTATAGCTAGGTTGCATATATTTAGATTATATAAATAAAATTGTGATGTCTTTCTTTAATATCAAAATAAATACACTAGTTACAAAAATTAAGGGATATAAGAGAAATTCTAAATTTTTAGGTTATTTTCTACAAGCTGTAATTCCGAGGAAAATGGAAAATCATTATTTCCAGATTTAGATTATCAATGTTGAAAAGAAAATTTTTGCTTTAAAATCATCGTATAGGCTTTTTGATTACGTCAAATTTAATGCCCATTTGGCTATAAAATTCGTAAAAGAGCGTTCTAGTCAAATAATGAAAAAAAATTGCAGACCTTTTTTTAGACACGCAAAAATTTGGTTTTTTGGTAGTTTCCTTAGGATCACTCCAGAACCAAACATGATAAAAACGTTTCATGGCCAGATGTGAAAAATATACACTGTTTTTTTTGCCGTACCATCATTTATAATTTTTGGAACTAGTGTAGTTTACACTGAACTAATTAGTTACAAAGATGGTATTGTTTAGGCCTTATCGGGACTTTAGAAATAAAATGAGTGGACTGTATTAACAATAGGTTTAATGCCGTAAAACCTCTAAACAAACATATTATATAATTGAAAAATAAAGTGCCCGTCTGCAACCGCGTCTCGCAGCTGAGTGAGGTACAGAAGCGCTCGCGCTGCCGCGAGGTCAGCGACCGGTCCGCGCTCCCACGCGTCCATCATTTTGGCCGAGGCGAGATGACGTGCGCCGACAGTATTAAAATATAAATAACGATTTCTTTGTCTATCTGTTTCTGTGGGTTGATCTTCGAAGTGGCTGAACCGATTCTAATGAAACCTCACGAATTGACAAAGAGTAATACCAGGAGACATCTAGGCTAGATTTTATCCCAAAAACTTGAAGTTTTAATCGAAATATTGACAAGAAAAAATCAAATCAAAATAACGCAACATTAATAGATCCCACCCATGTGAAACCGGGGCGGGTCGCTAGTTTTTAATACACTTTATTTTCATTCATTAAAGCTAGCCAAAAGTCCACGGCTAAACCCCTTTAGGCTTAGCACGCACTGCGATTAAACGCGAGTGGTTTAGGAATAGCTGAAAACGCAAAACCGCATACAATCACGCACTGCGGTTGGCGTTTTACCTGATTTTATTTCAGTACCACCACGGATTTCTAGCGAGTATAGCGTGTGTTGTGGCTTTGATTTTTAAATTAAGAAATCGAAAACTTAAACATCGGTGCCGCTATAAGAATTGGGTACATCCACTAACAGATAAAAGACATCTGAAAGGATACTTTCGGTACTAATTAGCACCGCAAATAACGACTGTCGACTGCGCTCGCCTAGTCGAGAATGAATTAAAAAACGACCACGGTTAACCGTCATACTATCACTATGGGACACATAAAAATCGCGCGCTTACAAACCGCGATCCAAATGTAGCAAGTTACGTTTTTAAAATCAGTCACTGAAAAAAGTCGCTAATGCGTGCGCTTGTATAGAAAGCTATGTGTTACATTTTTTGCGGTTAAACGCAGTGCGTGCTAAGCCTTAGACCAAATTATAGGGGGGAGGGGGGGCTTTCCATAATAGCCACGCCTGATAGATGATAGGTTGGCAACTGCATTTATATGTAATTATTTTTATATTGGTATCTGAAAGATGCTGCTGCAAATCTCCCGTTTCATTATCTTCTATAGACTTTTAACCCACAGGATAATATGGAACAACACTACACAGCGAGCATATCTATTATGTAAAAACTAATATATGCTTTTACCGTGTAGTGGTCGTGTAAAAATATCCACTACCCCATATCATCAGGGCACAGAGGTGACAAATCAGAACATGAGCAGCAGGGTCTTCCTAAAATACCTAGCAAAAATAAATTAAGGTTGAATGTGAAAACATAAGAATAGAAATGAATTAATTGTTTGCTTATTTGTCTTCTACGCATTCCTATACCATTCATCCGATTACGATGAAACTTTGATGGGTTGTTATGCGAAAGACCGCGAATGTAATAAAAAGGGAAGCATTGCAAAGGATGCCGGGCACAGCGAGTTAAATACTGTTGCAAGCCATAATTGATGCCCCTAGCGCCATTTAGTCTCAGGGAGCAGAGCGAGGAGAGCTCTCTAGAAAATGCCATGCCTGAACTTCCACCAACAGCGCCATCTAGTATCGAATAGAAGAATTAAGCTTTCTAGAAAAGTCCATACTCGAATTTTCTACATCTAGTCGGTCGGGACCGGTATTTGCTGGAACATTCTAGATGTTTCGGTGGAAAAGGCCTATATAAAACCGACAGTATTGAATTGACGATACAAGTGACGACTTAGGAGCGAAATAAAGTAAACTAAAGTGTTAAGTGTGATTAATTATTAGTGTGTATTAGATTTAATTGGTGTTCGGTAATTAAAGTGTCAATTTTGGTAATTCAATCGGCAGTTTTACTGTCACGAACCTTAAGCTTGTAACAATACAAAATCACTAACTTAATACTCACCTCCGCTGACATAATAACGCAAAATATACTCCGTCTCACGTCGGTATTCATCCTTTGCTTTCGAGCAAGCTCTAGCAGCTTCTGGTCAGTGCTGGGCGGCGGTCGGAGGGTCGGTTTATCTTCCTGGCGGGTGTGATTGCCTTCCCACGCTGATCCCACTATCCACCACTTTCCCCTTTCATCCGCTGCGAAAAATATTTCCATTCTATAACCACGACAATATACCACAATCATTAAAATAATACTGGTGTCATGGTATTAGGTAATTAATTTTGGAATTTGTTTGATTAACAAAAATGTAAATGTATTTGTATGAAAACAAAAGCAAGTACGTACGCACGTATGCGTGTGAATGTATATGCAAATAAGTACGTCCGTACGTTAGTGTGTGAATATACATGCAAGTACGTACGTACGTGTGTGTGTGAATGTATACTAAAGTAAGTAGTATATACGTATGTGTCTAAATATATACTCATGTATGTACGAACGTGAGTATGTGAATGTACTCGCAAGTACATAAGCATGTGTGTGTGTGTGTGTGTGTTTTTTTTTTGTATGCGTGCGTGAGTGCGTGAGTGCGTGCGTGTGCGTGTGTGTGTGTGTGTGTATGTGAGTTAATGTAAACACAAGTAAGTATACGCACGTGTGTTTCTATATGTACACGCTAGTAAGTACGCACGTACGTGTATGGGTTTCACAAATATACAAGGACATAAGAATTTTTGTATGTGAATGTACATGCAAGTCAGTACGTACGGACATATGTATGCGACGTGCTTATGTATGTGAGTGTATTTGTGCAATAATTTCTCACCCCTCAGCAAATCCTCTAAGCGAATGTTCAGCGGTGTCACGTAGTTGCCCTTCCTCACAATACTGCGCGTCGACTTCTTCAGAATTTCAACGTAAGTGGGGTCGTAGTTGGGGATTTTATTGAGATTGTTGTTTTTCACAGCCATTAACACTTCCAGCAAGAACTTTATACGTGACCTGTGGAATCAACTGTAGAATGAGTTTACACATTGTTGGAATGACAGATTCCGTTTTTTTTTTCAGCAATGTCAAAACCGCAAGACGTCTGGTACTGCGATTGATCGCTTGCCAAGCGTAAAGATCAGCCGATATCCTCACGGGATAGGTTCATGTTCAGCAGTTGAATTTTAGAGACAAGAATAAAAAATACATTAAATTGCTTCATTGATTTTTATTAAAAAAAGATTTACTATTTACTAATACTTACTATTTTTTTACCAATTTAATATTATGACCCTAAGAAACTGGAGATCTTGGGATGAGCCCTATAGGCTCTATAGGCCCCGGGGGGCTACTATCCATATCATTTCTTTACTTTTGTACTTTTTGGATTTCGTTGGACCTAGAATGTGCAGTAATGGGGGAGTTACCATGTTCCAAGGGACGCACTAACGCTCGCACGCAAACTGACTTATAGGAATCAGTAGGTTGGAATTTTATAGATTTAAAGACTTGGAGTTCCCGGCGCCCCTTAAATGGGGCAGGGGTGCGAAGAATCTCCGGGAGAAAAACCGGCGACGAGGTTCGCCACCCGTCACGTTCTGTCTCCCGGAGGGGCGAAAAGTGGATTGCGGAAACCCGTCTGGCTACGCTGAATGTATGTGGAGGAATGAATGATAAGATGGATGAAGTATGCGAAATGATGAATGACAGAGGAATAGATGTGTTATGTGTGAATGAGACGAAACGAAAGGGAAAGGATGCCACTGCACATGGCACGTATACCGCGTATTGGTCTGGTGTAGGCGAGACCGAACGGGCATGCCAGGGAGTCGGTTTCATCCTTTCAGAAAGAATGAGTCAATGTGTGAAAGAGTATGAATGTGTAAGCCCGAGACTGCTATGGATACGAATGAAAGTGGGCTTAAAGAAGCTGTTCCTGCTAGGGGTGTACGCCCCAGACATGTCTAAGCCCGCTTACATTCGAGAGCAGTTTTGGGACATGGTAAGGATGGTGTTGACAAAATGTAAGGAAAATGAAAATATTATTATGTTAGGAGACTTTAATGGAAGGGTTGGGGTGAAGAGGTCTGGTTATGAAAGGATATTGGGAACGTTTGGTGATGAAAGTATAAATGAGAATGGTGAAGACCTCCTCACCGTATGTGCGGAAAAGAATCTTTTTGTGACGAATACTTTTTTTTCGTCATAAGAAGATTCACATGTATACATGGGAAAGAGGTGATGATAGAAGCATGATAGATTTCGTAATTGTGGATGAAAGAACGAGGAGCGCAGTCGTAGATACAAGGGTTTACCGGGGGTCCAACGTAGGGACGGATCATTACTTGGTCTTATGTCGAATTAATGGTCTTTTCAAGCGTTGGCGGCATCGGATATCTGTGTCTACCACTGCGTTACAGCGTATAAGAATAGAGAAGTTACAAGATGAAGATGTGAAAGAGAAGTATAAATGTAGACTGAGAGAAAATATTAGATGTTTGAATGAGTTGTGTATGAATGATTTAGACTTGAAGACTGTGTGGGATAATATTAAGAAAGGTTTGGTGGATACCGCCACCGAAGTATGTGGTGTAAGTAAAAGAACAAATGAAAGGAAAAGTAATACGTTGTGGTGGGATGATGAGGTACGGGTGGAAGTTGAATCAAAGAAGAAAGCATGGTTAGATTTACTAGCAACCAAAGCTGGTAATTCTTCTGGTATGAATGATGAGATTGAAAGAAAAAAGGCAGAATTTAGACGTCTAAATAAGAGAGTAAAAGAAGTTGTTGAAAGGAAAAAGAAAGAAAGAATGGATAAGAATGATAGAAGGATATCTGATAATTTCCAGGCTAACATAAAAATGTTCTGGAAACTCGTAAGAACTGCCAGGGGAAATACAAAACAGCCTATAATAAATGCTATAAGAGACGAGAATGGATGTATTCTGAATGATGAAGTTTCGAATTTAAACAGATGGAAGGAATACTTTGAAAGCGTGTTTATGAGTGAAGAGTCGTATGAATTAAATGAACTAGAAATTCCGAAAGAAGTGGAAAGGGGTATGGAGATAAGTGTAGATGAAATAATGAAAGCAATGAAAAGCATGAAAGCAGGTAAGGCAGCTGGATATGATAGAGTATCACTCGAGATGCTAAGGGCTGGAGAGGGAGTGGTGGCAGGCCTGCTGTACACCTTGTTTAATTTATGTTGGGAATTAAATCGGGTACCGGATGACTGATGTAAAGCAGTTATAGTACCAATATATAAAGGAAAAGGGTCACAGCAGGACTGCAAAAACTACCGCGGTATCAGCTTGCTTAGTATTGTGGGTAAACTGTATGCTAAGGTGTTAATTGAAAGAGTTATGAAAGAAACTGACGGAAAAATTTGGGATGTGCAAGCGGGTTTTAGAAAGGGAATGGGGTGCACAGATCAAGTCTTTTCCATGCGCATGATTGCGGAGAAGTTTTTGGCCAAAAACCAGAAAGTTTTTTGTGCGTTCATGGACTTGGAAAAGGCTTATGACAGAGTGGACAGGAATGTGTTATGGCAAACACTGAACTCATATGGGTTGAGCGCTGGTTTGATACAGGCATTAGGGTCTCTTTATAGGGACTCTAGTGCTTGTGTCAGGATCAATGGGGTCTACTCGGACTGGTTTGGCATCCAAAAAGGTGTCAGACAGGGCTGTGTAGCTTCCCCTTGGCTGTTCAACCTATTTATGGACCGGTGTTTGCAAACTTTGAAAGATGAAGAATGTGGTTGAATGGGCGAGTTAACCGTCAAATGCCTTTTGTATGCCGATGATCAAGTCATATTTGCGTCATCAGCGGCTGAGTTGCAAATGATGGTTACATTAATGAACTGGGAATTAAAAGAAAGGGGAATGAAAGTGAACGCAAGTAAGACGAAAGTGATGGTTTTTGAAAGAGAAGAAAGCAAAACGGTATGTGAAATAAGAATAGAAGGAGAGTTAATTGAGCAAGTGGATGAGTTTGTGTATTTGGGATGTGTATTTAGCAGGGATGGTAGATATGATAGGGATATAGAACGACGAGTAAATGCAGGGAATAGAGTGAATGGGGCACTACACTCTATTATGAAGAACCAGAATGTGTCAAAACAGGCACGTATGGTAATTCATAATGCTGTGTTAGTCCCTACGTTAATGTATGGTAGTGAAAGCTGGGTGTGGCAGAAGAAGCACGAAAGTAGAATAAATGCTGTAGAAATGCGTTCTTTAAGAAATATGCTAGGGTTTAATCTGAATGACAGGGTGAGAAATTGCGTGATAAGAGATAAATGTGGTATGCAAGATGATGTTGTGACCAGGATTAAGAAAGGAATGCTTCGGTGGTTTGGTCACGTAGAAAGAATGAATGAGGAAAGAGTGACAAAGCAAATTTATATGGCAGATGTGAACGGCCGAGTCGGGAAGGGACGCCCTAGAAAAAAGTTTGTCGACCAAATTGGCGATATTTTGAAAATGGGCCACGTTAGAAGTACCCTTAACCGACGAGCATGTATGCGTAGATATATGGATGTAAAGGAGGCGAAAGAGGTATGTCAGGATCGTGCCAAATGGAAGTCCGTAATCTCTGCCTACCCCTCTGGGTGACAGGCGTGAGTGTTTATGTTTATGTTAAAGACTTGGAAATATGTTTAACTTTTAAAATTACGAACTATTAAAATTTAACTTTTAAATAGACCCATTGAACTTACAAATATAAAAGTTGTACAAAACTAGGGCGTTATGTACAAATGTTATTTTAAATAATCGTTGATTAAAACTACTTTTACGGATTTTATCGCGTTTTATTTATTTTATTTTTAATACTCGACGTTTCGGGTGCTTTCCAGCACCCATGGTCACGGGGGCTGAGGTGACTGACGTCCCGATGTTAAAGTTAACCCAGAGTACCTTCAGCTTTTTAATTATTGTCTTTGGTCCGATCTACGCAGAATGAACTGTGTTTTGAAGCCTTGCAGTGGTACGCTTGGCTTTAGTTTTAATTTTATTAATTATAGGGTCCCAAGCAGGTGGTAGTATACAGCCTCCTTCTCTATTGAAATTAGGATGTTTTTTAATTTCAATATCCTAACGTATTATCCTTGGTAGGAATCGATGTTCTTTCGCGAAGATTTGTGGTCTATCAAATCTGATGTAATGGTTGGGGCCATCTAGGATATGATCGCAAACTGCAGACTTCCCGGAATGTTGATGCTTCACGTCAGCTATGTGTTCTTTTACGCGGGTTCTAATTGATCTCTTTGTTTGCCCTATATATGAGAGACCACAATCACACACAAGCTTGTACACTCCTGCATCTTGTAGAGGAATATGACACTTGACGGATGGTAAGAACTGACTATTCTTCTTCGGCGGCTTGTAAAATGTTCTAATAGAAGCTCGCTTCAAGATGTAGCTAATTTTGTCTGTGACACCTCTGATATACGGTAGTACAGCAGGCACACTTACAGTAACTTTGACATTGGGACGTCAGTCACCTCAGTCCCCGTGACCATGGGTGCTGGAAAGCGTCCGAAACGTAGGGTATTAAAAATAAAATAAATAAAACGCAATAAAATCCGTAAAAGTAGTTTTAATCAATGTATAGTGTTCGCGTAAATATAAGAAATCATTATTTAAAAAATCACTTATCGTCTTATTAAATAAGTAGTTCCACTAATGTGTTAATATGAGCCGTGGTAGCTCAGATGGTTAACACTCGCTGTAAATATAACAGAACGCGAGTAACCCTGGTTCGATCCCCCGCCGGCACCAATGAAATTGTTAATTGCAATTTTAAGTGCTGATTTACCACGTGCTCGGCGGTGAAGGAAAACATCGTGAGGATACCTGCACGTCTGAGGAATAAGAAAAAAAAATTATTTCGAAGACATGTGAAGTTCGCCAACACGCATTAGGGCAGCGCGGCGGACACTTCCTTGCCCTAAAACCCTCTCAGAAAATGAGGGGAGGCCTGTGCCCAGCAGTGGGACTTATATAGGCTGTAACTTTACTTTACTTAAACAATTACATGAAAGATTAATAACTAATCTTAATCCTAAATTTAAATTTAATTAAAAATTAAAAATATCCTGAGCAAAGAAGTCGCTATGTCGCGGCGTCACAGTTCATGGGAAATTTGAGATTTTCTGTCAAACTCCATATTTTACATTTCATTTTGTACATTGCCACGGGAAGTTTCCCATGAAACAGAGTCTACTTTAAACCTGAGACTAATTATTATAAATGACTTTTTGTAATACGATGGTAATTATTTTATTCTATTTATGAACATCATAAAACATTTATTCAAAACATCATTGAGATAAAGTTGTCTATTACCTTATACTTATTATATGTGTACCGTACCATTACAGCCTATGAAAAGTCCATTGCTGAACACCACTATTCCACCAGAGATTTTTCCGGACTGATACGACTTAGGGACCTTCAATAAAAGAGCCTACTCCTTTTTAAAAGGCCGGCAACGCATCTGCAACGCCCCTGGTGTTGCGGTTGATCACAGGCGGCGGTACACTTACAATCAGGTGAGCCGTATGCTCGTTTGCCCCTGTCCTATAAAAAACATGGCCGATTGCCTCATATGGTGTATATTTGCCAAAATTGCCACGCTTGGCGGGCGAGTTGGCAACCACAGTCATTTTATTTTTTTAACGTTATTAGGAAAATGCTGCCCATCTCCTGGTTTATTTCCCTCTGCCGCCTGTTATGGCACCCATGTGACTGTATGAGGTAGGTGGATATTCTTACAACACCACTACACGGTCTTTCTTTCACTTGTATAAGCCAGTGTTCAAATACTATCCCACCTGATGGTAAGTGGTGATACATCCGAGGATGATGGTGGTCTACTATTAATAGACTTCTAATTTTTCTTCTTCCAAACCCTATCAAAAGTTATTTGTGGTCGGCATAGCATGTCTTCCTCGTCAATTCAGCTCTATTAGCCGTCATATCTTCACTCACACCTTTCTTACGCATATCATCCCTAATGCAGTCTATCCATACGAGGGGTGATCTAAAAGTAATGATAATCAGTTACTTCAGGTCCGCATAAAAATCAAAAAAAAAAATTTTTTGCTTGCTTATATACTCACTACGTCAGCCTAAAAAAATCATATAAATAGATCACGATTTCCGGGAGATACATTCATTTGAATACGAACTGTCAAAGGGATAACATCAAAATGGAGAAAAACGAAATTAGAGCTGTCATCAAGTACCTCTGTTTGAAAAAAATGTCTTCAAAAGATACACAGTGACTTAGTGGAAACATTGGGGGACTCTGCTCCTCCATATTCTACAGTTGCACGCTGGGCCAAGGAGTTTAAACTGGGCAGAACATCCACTGAAGATGAACATCGCGATGGACGCCAATCCACGTCCCTCACTCAAGACAACGTGAAAAAAGTCGAAGATTTTGTGTTGGCAGATCGAAGAGTGACCATCAGGCATGTAGCTGAGGTCACAGGGATCTCATATGGCAGCGTTCAAAGAATCCATGCGAACGAGTTGCATAAGAAAAAGGTCTCTGCTCGTTGGGTACCCAGAATGTTAACTGACGAGCAAAAGAAAAATCGAGTTGACATTTCGAGGGTCAATCTCGAAAAGTTCCAAGCAGATCAAGGAAATTTTTTGTTCCGTTTTGTGACTATGGACGAGACCTGGATCCACCATTTTGATCCTGAAACGAAACAACAATCGATGACTTGGAAGCGAGCCTCCTCACCGACGCCAAAGAAATTCAAAGTTTCAAGTTCGGCGGGAAAGGTTATGGCATCTGTTTTTTGGGACTCTTACTACGCAGACAAAATAAGAAGATTACGGGAGGCCATTAACACGTTCATTGCCAAAGCTAAAATTGGAGTTTTCTGCTGGTGGCCCAAAACTTTTTTTTAATGAAATAACTCTTATGTACAGCAAATACTATTTGCGGGTGTGTTTATGGTTTTAGTATATATATTTAATATTTTACATAATATAGTTATATATCACTCGACGTCGCGTGATGGGCCATGTGGAGTGTACATTTATCCTTAGGGGCCCCATCACGCGACGTCGAGTTTTGGGATACCTTAGCACTTTTGTGTAATTATGAGTTCAAATGTAATAAAATTAAATATTTTTTAGTATCAATAATTTTTATTTGAATTATATAACACAAAAAAATAACAAAATATCAAAGAAACATGCAACATAAAAAAAATTTCTAAATATTTTAGAGCCAGCCAGTACAATAAGTAAGTTGACCCAAAAGTTTACTAGCTAAGGTATATGAATTATAAAAATTATCCATATAGATAAAGTGGCCAACGTCCAATTTATTTTGCATCAATTTTTCAACAATTTTTTCGGTGTGGCCCTTTCCGGCTGTTTCATCTTCTGTGCTGGCAAACACGTGGAAATTTAAAATCAAGCCATCCAGTTCTGTGAGCACGTATAGTTTGATGCCATACTTGTGGCGCTTTCATTTGATGTATTGTCGGAAAAGCTTCAAGAATATCCGATTCGTGCAACAAAATACGTTTTGATTGCGCTCGCAAAGGTATCTCGTTTGATCGTTTCGTACCCCTAGAGGTTGATGATCACTCATTATAAATTTTGTTTTATTATAATTAGTATCACTTTATACTACAAAAAATACGTATTATTTGTTCACAACTAACTAAAAACAAACAAGAAAGCCGTCCGGCTCGAGAGGCGACGCTAAGCGAACTAACCTGGAACTATCCAATTACGTAGCACTAAAACTATCGCATGATTCGGATGGCCACGCCCACTTTACGATAGCTTAGTCCTTTCTCTAGAGGCCCATAAAAAACACCGTTGCGATAACGCTCCGGCCGAGGCAATACGCTTCATACAAAACTTGTCGGACACTTCACGCGACGTCGCGTGATTGGCAATTAACGTGTTAAGGAAAAAAGACGAGGCAAACTGCGAGCTGGAGTGCTGTTTCACCAAGACAACGCACCGGCTCACAAAGCCGCAGTTGCGATGGATGCCATTCAAGAAACGGGATTCGAACTGCTCGAACACCCTCCCTATTCGCCAGATCTAGCTCCTAGTGACTTCTACCTCTTTCCTCGGCTCAAGGAACGCCTCCGAGGCAAGAAATTCGAAGACGATAGCGAAGTAATGGCCGCTGTTGAAGCGTTTTGGGAGGGTCAAGACTAATGGTGGTTAATATAGCGCATAGCGCCATATTATAGCGCGCTATCTCTTCATAACGCATAGCGCGTGCTATGTAAGTAGTCGCCATGGCGCTACGACGCTATGACGCTTTGGCGCTATTCATATCAAGCGGCAATTAGTTCTAGCAGCGGCGCTGTTGGGAGTAGACGTGTGACTCAAATTTAATCTAGCAGCACGCTATTCATCGCGCGCGAACTAATTTAATGTTAGACGTTATTTAGTTAGTGTATACTGTATATTTATAAGTGATCGAAGGACGCAGTTGTCTGCTACAAAACAAGCCTAACTAATGTTTTAAATGTAAATAAAATATAGATAGAAAAGTGTATATAATAGTGTTTGTAAATAGTTGATTTTTGTATATACAATTAATAAACTTTTAAATACACCTTTGATTTATAATTTATAATAATGTTAAAATGACGTTTACATCAATTGTAATAAAAAATTATTAATTTTATTTTGTTTTAAAAAGTACAGTCCTTAAAAATATTTTTAGGATTATAAAAAAGTCTGAAAAGCCCGAAAGAGCGTTCTTTAATTTTTCTTTACCACTTTATTTTATTTTAATATAAAATGCGACTTATTACGAAACAATGTTCTTATATAGCACGCGGTCTATTCAATGAACGATATGTAATGTAGCGTACTCCGAGATATAGCGTGCTGACTTAACGCGCTTGCCGGCCTCCTAGACACTTTTTATAAGCTCTTCATAGCGTATTTAATAGCACGCTAGAAATTTCTAGTTTATAGTATGTAGCGTGCTATTGATTTATAGTAGTTTTGAACAACTTTAGTCAAAACAAAGAATTTTTTTCAAAGGGAATCCTGGGTTTAGAAAAAAGATGGACTAAATGTATTGATTTGTTAGGAGACTATGTAGAAAAATAAACTATTATTTTAACTTTAATTACCGTGTTTTATTTTCATTATCATTACTTTTGGATCACCCCTCGTATTTTCTTTCTACTCTTATATCCCATTCACTTTCATAGCCTTATTAAACTTATAGGCTTTGAATTAAAAAACCTACCCACTAGCAGCATTTTCGTTTAGTTTGGCGATTTTTGCTTGGGTCTCGTGAATGAAATTCTTCAAGGCGATTGGATCGTCCTTCCTCAGCACGCCTCCGACACTTCTAAGGGCGGTGAGAACGCAGTCTATGTGTTTCTCGGAGATGTCCTCCATGAGACGGGCGAGGATGTCGTACAGAAGGGCGCTGTGGTAGATCTGTAAACAGATTAAAGATTAAACATTCTCGATTCTTGATAAATGTTTTTAGAAGGTAGACAAGCGAGCACACTGTCCACCTAACAAGGTGGTAAGTAAATACTGTGGCTCATAGACCCCTAGATCTACCTTTGATTAAGATTCCAATTGCAGATGCTTTGTCACCCCCGAGGAGTTACATAATCTTTTCACAAATAGTAGAAGGCCTATGCCTTGTAGATGCATAAACATAGATTATTAAAATCGGTCAGGGGCACGGAAGGTCGTGAACTAAGATTTTTTTGCTTATCTGTTATTTGAATATAGAAATAATTTTATTCAAATATACAAAGAGTCGCTAATAGTTCATATAAAGTACGTCAAGATTTGTACATAACAAACTAAACATAAATAAGAAAACTGCAGTTGCCGACACTCCTACCAAGCGTAACAACTATGGCGAAATCCCCCCTATGAGGAAATTCATGGGGGAGGCCAATGTTCACCAATGCTCTTTTAAAATGTTGTAACAATACAAAGAATAATCTAGATGACACAGTTTTTCACATTTCTATCAAAATAGCATCACATTTCAAAGGAAAACAAAGTCACCTTGTATGACATAAAAACCTACCTTAAAACTGTACAAATGCGATAGGCAGGACGTCAAGTTTTCTAGCCTCTTGTCCTGCATCGGCTGCTGTGTGTCAACCATCTCATCGAATATCTTAGTCAGCTCTTGTAGAAAATGTGCACCTGAGAATAACGTTAAACAAAAAAAATACATAATGCTTATTTTTATAGAATAAGGATGTCAGATAAATACATAATCAATCTGATGGTAAATGTACGCTGCGGTTCATTAACACCATAGAATACTATAATACATACATATTATAACGGGGGAGTGGGCGGAGCCCGCGTAGCCACTAAAATGTCACTACCACGTCAATTTACACGTATAAATGTCAACACGAGATGTGTTTTGACGTTACAATCGTTTCCAAATTTCGCATGCAAATTATTTAGAAAATGCCAAATTGCACACTATTTACAAATAAATATGTATAAAATTTAAACGATTTTTTTAATGATAATCTTGAACATTAATCAAAAGTCTAAAATGTGTAAATTTACTCAGTCTATCAACACAGCGAATCGGGTTTGGCGGCGCCAACGTACAAAATAAAGTTGACAGCCATTCTATTGTGTATTATAGTATTCTATGATTAATACTTACATTTATTCTCGGTTATAAGGGGAGGCCTGTGCCCAGCAGTGGGACGTATGTAGGCTGTAACTTTACTTTTTTACCAATGAATTTCATTGGTGCCGATAGAAATATAACCAGGGCTGCTCGCATTCTGTAACAATTACTGCGAGCACTTGGAAATATTAGCTTACAAACGTCTTGCAGCTAAGGATAAGTTTTAGAGGCTGGTGACGCAATAGCAAGGCATTTGATTGTCACATGAGAGTAAAAATAATCTCCGGTTATCTACACTCACTATACGAAACACAGTAGCATTAAGCTGCGTTTTTATTTCTTGGTCAAGCCGACCTTTCGTGCTGCAAGCATAACACAGTTGCGACATAGCTCTCCTTATAAACTAAAATAAACGTAAAACTATATAGCAAATACAGCTTACATACGTTCCACAGCTGAGCAGAGGTTATCTCTCATTACTGAGAGGATTTTAGGGCAAAGAAATGTCAAGTGAACTTCAGATATTTCGAAATATTTTCATTTACCGCCAAGCAGCACGCAGGTGGCAACTCGTTTGGTAAATCACCATTTAAAATCGCAATTAACAATTATTAATTGGAACCAATAAATTTCGTTGGTGCCGATGAAATATTACTGCGAGGGCTTGGCTGAAGTGAAATAAAAGCTTACAAACATCTCGCAGCTAAGGATAAGTTATAAAGGTTGGTAACGCATTGGCAAAGCATTTGATTCAATAGAATCATGCATGAGTAATAAGTAGGTATGTATATGACCTACGAATAATCGTTTCGGGTTTGGATGTTTGTTCATGTGGGATTTATGTATGTAAAACAACTTGCACGTACATACGTATACAGTGGGAATTATTAGTACGGCAACTATCGTATAAAAAAAAAAAAAAAAAAAAAAAAAAACTGCGGTTGCCAACCCGCTCGCCAAGCGTGGCAACTATGGCAATATACCCCCCATGAAACAACCGCTTTCAGTGCCTACAAGATTGCAATGCAGTGGACGATATGAATGACAAGCTCGTGGAAACTGTCCATGCGGTCGGAGCTAAGTTCTGCAAGACCCGCCGCAGAAGAACACAAAAATTCTCCGATCACACTCTTAATCTCATGGCTGTTAGACGGGAGATGAGGCTGCAATCGTCAACAGATTTGACAGCATACAGGCAACTGAACAGACAGATCTCCAAATGCATGCGGCGAGACTTACGCAACTTTAATACTGCTCGTATTAAAGAAGCGATCGAGCGGAACCAGGGCTCCAAAGTCTTTGCCAGAGATCTGTCTGCCAGAAAGAGCCAACTGTCAAGGCTGAAGACTGAGTGTGGCAGCATCGTTTCCGGGACACCTGAGATTTTGAGTGAGATTGAGAGGTTCTATGGGCAGCTGTACACATCATCGTTGGAGCCACACGCAAGTGTGAGTAACGATCCAAGAGCAAGTCTTATCCGACACTATTCCGATGATATCCCGGACGTCAGTCTAAGCGAGATTAGAATGGCTCTCCAGCACCTTAAAAACGGCAGGGCCCCAGGCGAGGATGGAATTACAGCGGAGCTTCTGAAAGCGGGTGGAACACCGGTACTTGAAGTCCTTCAGAAGCTCTTCAATTCCGTCCTCCATGGTGGCACTACTCCAGAGGCGTGGAGCAGAAGTGCGGTGGTCTTGTTCTTTAAGAAAGGCGACAACGCTCTCTTGAAGAACTACAGACCGATTTCCCTTCTGAGCCGCGTCTACGTGCTGTTTTCGAGAGTCATTACGAATCGTCTCGCACGCAGACTCGACGACTTCCAGCCTCCCGAACAAGCCGGTTTCCGAAAAGGCTTCAGTACCATAGACCACATACATACCTTGCGGCAGATTGTACAGAAGACTGAAGAGTACAATTTGCCACTTTGCCTGGCGTATGTGGACTATGAGAAAGCCTTTGATTCCGTCGAAATTTGGGCGGTGCTGCAGTCCCTTCAGCGGTGCCAAGTTGACTGTCGGTATATCGAAGTGCTGAAGTGTTTGTACAGTAGGGCTACGATGGCTATCCGAGTACAGAACCAGAGCTCGAAACCTATCCAACTGCAGAGAGGTGTAAGACAGGGTGACGTTATATCCCCGAAACTCTTCACCGCTGCTTTGGAAGACGTTTTCAAGCTACTGGACTGGAAAGGATACGGTATTAACATCAATGGCGAGTACATCACTCACCTTCGATTTGCCGACGATATAGTCCTTATGGCAGAATCGCTGGAGGACTTAAGCACTATGCTCAATGACCTCAATAGTGCCTCCCAACGGATAGGTCTTAAGATGAACATGGACAAAACAAAGATTATGTTTAATGTCCATGTCACACCTATGCCGGTAGTTGTTGGGAGCACTATGCTCGAAGTTGTTGACGAGTACGTTTACCTGGGACAAATATTCCGACTAGGTAAGTCCAACTTCGACCGAGAGGTCAATCGACGGATTCAACTCGGCTGGGCAGCGTTCGGGAAATTACGACATATCTGCTCGTCAGGTATACCTCAATCTCTGAAAACTAAAGTGTACAACCAGTGCGTGTTGCCAGTGATGACTTACGGATCAGAGACGTGGTCCTTCACTGCTGGCCGTATGAGGACGCTCAAGGTCGCTCAGCGAGCTATGGAGAGGGCTATGCTCGGAGTTTCTCTGCGTGATAGACTCAGAAATGAGGATATCCGCAGTAAAACCAGATTGACCGACATAGCCCAACGGATTAGTAAGCTGAAGTGGCAATGGGCCGGCCATATAGCTCGAAGAACCGATAACCGATGGGGAAGAAAGGTTCTCGAGTGGCAGCCTCGTACCGGTAGGCGTAGTGTAGGGCGACCCCCCACTAGATGGAGTGACGACCTGGTAAGATATGCAGGAAGTCGATGGATGCAGGTGGCTCAGGACCGTGCTTTGTGGCATTACTTGGGGGAGGCCTATGTTCAGCAGTGGACTTGTGAAGGGCTGTGATGATGATGATGATGATGAACTATCGTTTTAAAATAAGTGAAAAAAAAAAAACACAAAATAAACAAATAGTGTCTGCTATTGGGGTTGGTAAGAGGCCACTATGCTGCCTCAGTGTATAAGCGAATTTCACATATTCAAAGTATTTTTTTCAAATCAAAATTTCTAAGACGTCCTTATGATTCATCAATTTTAAGGTTTCTTCATATTTATTTTACAGTAAATCAGCATTTTAAATAGAAAATTGTTAAAATTTCATTAATGCCAGCGGTGTTTGTTGTTGATGACTATTCCCTGAGCTAGACCAGCTCAAGAGTACGAAAAGAAATGTATTCATATTTTTATATTCAAAAATCCCACACTAGGATTTTTTCATGTATCGTGGAGGCAATTTACAAACATAAATTGCACAAGGACAAATATCCAAACCCAGAAAAATTATTTGTAGGCAATACAAATACTCTATGCGAGATTCGCACCTGGGGCCCTTATCGCCGCCACTTTATGGGTAAGCTACTGCGCCATGAAGCAGTCAATTTGTAAAGACAATAATTTGGAAATCTCTAAAGGACAAGAGATATTAAATCAAAGAGGGTTTTTTTATATAGAATAAGGGTGACCAACGAGCATACAGTCCACCTGATGGTAAGTGGATGCTGTGGCCCATACACATCTACATCTATCCTCGACTACGAATCAAAATGCAGATGCGTTGTCACCTGTGAGGATTAAGAGGGAATGCCTCGTTTCTAGTAAAAAGGGTCTCCGGTTCTCTACACTCACCATATGAAACACAGCAATATTAAACTGCTATTTTACGCTGGAATTCTGTGAGAGCGTGGTCCTACCCCGGTCGATCCGACCCATTCGTGCTCCAACCACAATATAGCTGCAGCATGGCTCTACCACGTAAGAATACGATAGTATAGTGAATATTATAATTATAATGCAACAAAATACTTGATAAAAAAACAAAATGAAGCTTCTTACCAATCTCACTAGCGACATTGGCGTGTAAAACTGACACCAAAGCTGCATGCTCAGCTACCAATCTGTCGGGCGTCGCAGAGGGCGCCACAGTCGCGTCCAACCAAAGCTGGCACAGGGCTGTATTTACTGAATTTCGACTATTGTTCGAGTATAAATTCTCAATGGAGGTGCACGCCCAGTGAAGGTTGGTACCCGCCAGTTTGTTGAGAATGCCTGAAAAGATTAAGAGAATATTTTCATATTCTCATCCATACATATAAAAAAGTCCGTCGGTTGGTACCCCGCATGCCAAGCGTGGCAACTATGGCAAATATCCCCCCTATGACGCAATCTATGGGGGAGGCCTATGTTCAGCAATGGACTTTAATAGACTGTAACAGCAATAGTAACGGTAATGATCTATCGAAATATAGAAATAACTGGATTCTATTAAATTCAGGGGGCTATGTGCATGCTATTGAGACATAAATAACTTTTTTTTAATTTTTGCCTGTCTGTGTGTCCAGGCTCATCGTCGGAATGGCTGAACCGATAGTAATACTTTACGAACAGATAGTGTGTGACACCAGGAGGGCTAGGTTATAAAGGGTGTCTCAGCGCCGATTTTAAACTTTGAATATTTATATAAAAAAAACAATTGTGTTAATAATATTCTAATTGTAGTAAATTATAGTACATTAGTGCGAATTTTATGTACGGAATATTACACCGTCAAGATGTCTTCCATCACGACGAATGCACTCTTCAAAACGGACTAACGAATTTGCAGAAACACGCTGCAGAACGTCAATTGATATGGCCCTCACTTCTGTCGTTATTTTAGTCTTCAGCTGCTCTAAATTCATAAGAGGGGTATCAAAAACTCTTGCTTTAAGATAACCCCATAAAAAAAAGTCAGCTGGGGTTAAGTCGGGAGATCTGGGTGGCCACAATATGTCTCCAAAGCGGCTTATGATTTTTCCCGGAAACAACGCTTTTAGTGTGTCCATGGAGACCCTAGCTGTGTGGGCTGTGGCCCCATCTTGCTGAAACCATACACCGGACTCATCAACATCCTCTTCTTGCAGCTGCGGTACAAAAAAAGTTATTAATCATGTCGATATACCGCTCGCTCGTCACTGTAACCGTTGCACCTCGATCATTCTCGAAGAAAAATGGCCCGATGATTTTCTTCGCCGATATTGCGCACCATACAGTAACTTTGGGGCTGTGTAATGCCTTCTGATGTTTTTGTTTTGGATTGCTGGGTGACCAGTAACGGCAATTTTGGCGATTGACGTACCCTTCGAGGTGAAAGTGTGACTCATCGCTAAAATAAACATTGGACATCCCATTTTCCTCTGAAAAAATCCCTAAGATCTTCTGACAGAAAACTTTTCGCTTCTTATAGTCTTCTGGTTTGATTTTTTGAACTATTTGGATTTTATAGGGATGTAATTTTAAGTCTAAGGCCAAAATTCGTTGAATACTTGAACGATGAAGATTCAAAGAGGCAGCATGTTTTCTAACTGATCGTCGTGGATGCTCCGCGACCGCAGCGGCGACGCGGTCGATGTTTTCAATCGATCGAACAGGTCTAATTCGAGGGCCAATTGAATGTTTCATTAAACATCCTGTCGCTCTGAACTTTTTTACCCACGACTTAATTAACTGAATATTCGGGGCATCACTTAAACGGCGGATTTCATAGCGATTACAAAACTTGCGCTGTGCTTCCCTCAGCGAAAACTCGTTGCAAAAATACGCCTCTACTGCGTACGCGCGGTGCGCGCCAGACCACTGGGACATAGCGACTAAAAAAGCCCGCACTAATCACCTACCGAACGCTACCTCTCCCCTCCCGCTAACCCCGCCGGTTGCCGAGAAATTGGTATTTAAAGTTTAAAATCAGCGCTGAGACACCCTTTATTTTATCCGCAACACTTGAAGTTTAAAAAATATATAAAATAAATGGTCTTTTATTAGAATAATAATTATTGTAGCTAAATTAATAAACTGCCGCATTAATACATCTCATCCAGGCGAAGAAGGAGCAGGTCACTTCAATGAATCTGGACATGGACCTCCCATATTTGTGTGTATTAAAAAGGATTTGCCTTATTATTTCCTATATTTACGCAAACTCTATACATTAAATAAAGTTATTTTACGGATTTTATCGCGTTTAATTTTAGTTATTTTTAATTCACGACAATGCTTTGCAGCCCCCCAGTGACAATGGGTAAAAATTGTTTTATTCAAAGGATTTGCCTAGACTTACAGGTGTAAATGAAGCAAACAAAATTTTTCATTCATATTGGTATTCACAATTCAAGATGTTTCATACATAGTTTTCATACATTTCCCTTCATTGGTCCAGCATATACAGGGTTATTCTGCAATCACTAGGCAAATGATTAAGAAAAATTAATAAAAAAAATCACAAACATTCTGTCCTTTTTATCTTTTAAATTCAAAATGCGTGGTATTATCTTAACGTGGCATTATTTTTAATTGATTTTACTGCGCAGGCACGTATTCGTATGTGTCAGTTGCCCATAAATCACATTCAATTTGGGATAATTTCTAATAAAAGTTCAGATACTCGTATTTTCAAGAACTGCAATAACGGTATATCAATATTTATATATTTGATCTTAAGTTTAATATTTGGCTAATCTTTGAAAAACAACCCTGTATATACTAGTTTACGACACATAATCTGCCATCTGGTCTACAGTTTAAGACCACTAGATTTTCCTGGGTTTATATAAGTAAACTTTAATGAATGATTATAGTGGCTCGGTCACACTATGCTCCTCGCGCTGCCGTTATATTGCCCTGTCTGTCCACATACTGCTCGCGTTTGCAACACAATGGATGTTTAAACTGTTGCAGCGTGCGAACTATACATATTTGTTATATCTTATTGTATCAGTTTCATAAAAAGAAAAGTCTATTGTAAACTGCCAGCTCATGAGGTACCTTGAGGAACCAATACGGTTTTCGCCGTGGTCGATCAGCTGGTGATATTCTGGTCTACCTAACTCATAGATGGGCGGAGGCAGTAGAGTCCAAGGGGGAGGCATTGGCTGTTAGTTTGGACATTGCGAAGGCCTTCGATCGGGTTTGGCACAAAGCGCTTCTTTCGAAGCTGCATTCTATAGGCTTCTCGAGAAATTGTGCAATTGGATCACCAGCTTTCTTGCGTCGTTGTAGACGGTGCAAGCTCCGATTACAAGCCTATTAATGCTGGTGTTCCACAAGGCTGCGTGCTATTGCCAACGCTGTTTCATCTGCATATCAATAATATGTTGCAAGCCTGTAACATTAATTGCTATGCAGATGACAGCACTGGTGATACTCTGTACACCGGCCGTGCCAATATTTCTCGGGAAAACGTCTCCGAGTACCAGGACAAACTTGTGTCTGAAGTCGAGTCTTTGCTGAACAGAGTCTCGGATTGGGGGCGACTAAATCTAGTCCAGTTTAACCCTCAGAAGACACAAGTTTGCACATTAAACGCTAAAAAGAACCCCTTTGTCGTATCTCCTCAGTTTCAAGGCACCCCCCTTGTTGCCTCAGCCAGTATCGGAATCCTCGGCGTCGACATATCGAGTGACGTGCAGTTTCGTGGTCACTTGGAAGGCCAAATTGGCCTCTAAAAAGCTTGGCGTGCTCAGCAGAGCGGGACAGTATTTCATGCCGGCACACCGCCTGCAACTTTACAAGGCGCAGGTTCGGCCACACATGCAATATTGTTCCCATCTCTGGATTGGAGCTCCCCAGTACCAGCTCCTTCCACACGACCGCATCCAGCGCAGAGCGGCTCGAATCGTCAACGATCGAGTGCTTGCCGATCGGCTCGATTCACTGGCGCTGCGAAGAGATGTTGCATTTCTATAATATAAGATAATCATTTATTGTCATAACTGTGTACATGAGGTCTTACAAATACAGAGTATAGTTACAACAGTTTGTCCATTTCGGACGTACAATATAATAAAAAATAAAATAAAGCACTACAATAAATCAATAATTACTTCCAAAAAATTCATCTAAATTATAAAAACATTTTGATAATAGCCATTCTTTCTTTTTTTTAAATCTTGGGCTCTCTAACTATTTAATGTATATAGGTAAATGGTTAAAGATTCTGATTCCGCTTATTAATGTAATTTTACTATAAATGTAACTAGATGATTTAACAATGCACACATCAAAAGCGTGTTGAGTTCGTAAGTTCTTTTTTGATTGTTTTTTAATATTAAAATGTTGTTGGTTATCTTTGACAAACACAGAAATTTCAAGTATGTATATACAAGTCAACGTCAGAAATTTACAATCTATAAATACATTTCTTAGAGTCATATTGATTAATGTTATACATAATTCTTAAGCACTTTTTTTGCAAAACAAATGTGGACTGAATGTCAACAGAATTGCCCCAGAATATAATTCCATATGTCAGAAGTGGATAGACATGACCATAGTAATAATTTTTTGCTACATCTCTAGATGCTACATTTTTCAATATTGATATGGCGTAACAACTGCTTGAAATCCTACTGTTTATTTTCTCAACATGTGATTTCCAGTTCAAATTACTATCAATGTTGATACCCAGAAATCTCATGTCATGCACTTTCTCAATTTTTTCACCGTCGATTATAATATTTAATTCAATTGGAGCTTTTCTATAATTCCTAAATTCTATTAGTTTTGTTTTTCCCAAATTTACTTTTAAATTAATTGAAGTTAGCCAGTTCACTACTGTGTTTAGTGTGTTATAAATTTCATTCACAAAATATGCATCATCTAGTTTATCTCTTGATAAGAATATTGTAGCATCATCAGCATACATTACACATAGATGATTGATCATTAATGGAAGCTCGTTTATGTAAATTAAAAACATCAGTGGGCCTAGTATGCTACCTTGCGATACACCTAGGCTTAATTTTTTGAAATCGGAATGCACTTGAGTTATTGATTTTGTTTTTTTTGTCAAATGTATCTAATATTGTCGCCTGTATTCTGTCAGTTAAATAAGATTCCATTAATTTTAGCGCTATTCCACGTATGCCTATATGTTCAAGCTGTTTTATCAATATATTATGAACAACACATTCAAAAGCTTTTGACAGATCCAAAAGAGACCAACACAAGTCCTTTTTTGATCTACATCTTTCCAAATATCATTCAAAACTTTGAATACAGCCAATGTCGTGTTC